TCACTGTTCTCTTGATGATTCTTGAATGGACTTTGAAGATGGAAGCTAGAGTGTGAATGTTGGGACCATTATTTAACATCAATTAAAGGAGATAACTGATAACTGACATTCATTAAACATGGTACGTGGAGCTAGAACAGTCTACCCCAGTGAGCAAATTAAAAAGTTAAGTTCAACATTCCAACCACCTGAAGAAGGCTGGAGTGTACAACAGCTGAAACGTTGTAATAAATATGGTGACAAAGATGAAGACAATAGTCCAAATAATGTAAAAAATGTATATAATACCTCATATCAGAAATATAGACAGATACTGAAAGGCCGAAACCTTGTGATAAATATGGCGACAAAGATGAAGACAATGGTCTGAATAATGTAAATAGTGTACATAATACCTCATCTCAGAAATATAGATAGATACTGAAAGGCCGAAATGTTATAATAAATATGGCGACAAAGATGAGGACAATAGTCTGAATAATGTAAATAATGTACATAATACCTCATCTCAGAAATATAGAAAGTTACTTAAAACAGTTAAAAATAATTGTTTACATCTTTTGTCTGTTACTTATCAACTGGGTATTCAGTCAACTTTTCTTAAATATTTGCCATGAAAGTTTGTTTAAATTTATGAAGATCATATAGGACAACTGATGTTTAGATGACAAAAAACAAAAAAAAACAAAACCTAATATTACCCACAATAGTAAAATTATTTATGCTCTCGACATTAAAATATCATCACAGGATAGACAACACTCTGATGTTAAATATAATCCTTCTATTTTATTTTTGTGTATATTATGTTATCCAAGAGTTAAGGTTTTAAAAGATTTTTTAAAAGCTAACTTCTACCAGAAAGAAAGAAATGTTTGCAAACATTTTCTCACACTTAACTTTCCAAATTACATGTAATTATTCCGGCTGTGAATTGAATGAAGACAGACAAAACTTAATTCAATTCTTTTCAGTTTAAGCATTTTAAAACATTTTATATTCATTAGATTAAACTTTTAGTAGGAAAACAAAGATGGTTTGATCAAGCTCCCTGCTAATACCTATTTATCCCTTTATTTTATTTGGATAACTGAAAAGGGTTTCTTTTTTTCTTGTTATTATTAAATAGTATAAGCTTTAATTTTTAAATAAAAGCTTGCAGTTTATTTTTGTGCATTTTTTTCTTTTCATTTATTTTCCAACATTTTTTTTTTTTTGCCTTATTGGGAAAAATGCTTTCCAGCTGATGGCATGAGGATATGTACATACACTAAATGTAAACCAATATGGCAAGATAATTGGTAAGTGTGCAAATTTGAAGCTGAAGTAAAAATTATAGAAATGATAGATATTGTGGAAATGCTCAAATAAATAGATGAGGGTAGATATTGTAGATATACTAAAATAAATAAATGGGTGTAGATATACCAGAATGAATAAATAAACAATTAAGACTAGATATACCAGAATGAATTAATAAATAATTAAGGTCAGATATCCAGGAATAAATAAATAATTAAAGCCAGATATACAGGAATAAAAAAATAAACAATTAAGACCAGATATACCAAAATCATTGTATAGAGAAGAAAATTTGAAGCTATAAAAGAAAAATAATAGATGGAAATACATACACAAGCAAAGACAAAACTAAAAGAAAGCAAATTTTAGTTTTGATTAATGTAACAATAACCAGACATCTGTGATGAAAATCAATCCTGATAAAATGGGGAAAAACTAAAATGATCGTTTCCTGGGAAATTGTAGACTACATATCCCACCATGTTACACTTGTAACTTCATATCCGGGGTGTCTTCCTTTTGATGTGTAGTTCTTTGCAAAATGATTGGGACTGTTGCAATGATGACATGTTATGGAGTCACATAGATCACTGGTAGAATGCTTTCTCACCTCACCCTGTGTAGTTCATATCAGTGCAACTGCCAGTCCCTCCTCCAGTACTTAGTCTTTCATGATTGCTTGCACTTGAGACAATAGCTGGTCGATAGACAATTCGTTCATCTGGGTCAAAGAACAAAGCATATGTTTAACCTGGTTTGGTAACCCTCGCATGAATTCACATGGCAAGCCAAGGTTGCTCATTCCACCAAACAGAATGGAAAGCTTTCATAATTCTGCCAGGTAGACATCGACTGATTCTCCGGAATGGAGCTGTCAATCAGCAAATTGTTCATAAGCCAAAAAACTGTCTGTAGCAAAAGTAGTGCACATTTTATCTGGCTGAAAATCTCCATTTCTTCTTCTCTCAGCTGCTGGTAGACAACAAACACACCACTCATTAGCCTTAAGGGGACTATGTGTTTTGGATATTTCACCTGGCACATCTTCCAGACCAACTCAATTTGACCACTGATAGTCCAGACATGGAGCTGTTGAGTTCAGGGATGAGTTTGAGGTCAAACTTCCCCTCTGTCATTTTTGCTGAAATATCTTGTGTAAAACTGATCCAAGTAATCACTTTTCCAACTGACAAAGCCTCTCTCCATATATGCAGTACCACATTCACGAGCATCTTGTCCTTTTTCTCTCATATGTGGTGTTTTTATGCTGAGCTGATCTCATGAAAAATTTGCATATGCCCAGCCATTCTTGCCAATTCTCCTAGCTCTGAGACCGTGTCTTTCTTAAGGTGTTAGGGTGGCCATATTTCTTTTTCCTTTCCTTCACTCTCTTTGCATGCCAGGCATATACATGCTCACTTTGCCACACAAGATAAGTCATCTTCTCTTCAACGAACTGAACATTACTAAAAAGGGTAATCATGGACATCAGTAGGAGAACACACTATACCTGCTGTTTCACTACTGAGATTAAACAGTGTTAATCCTGGTCAGTACTTAGGTATTATAAGTTTTGGCTTTAAATAACCTGCAAAGGGTTGATAAGCAGTAAAAAAAATAAATAAATAATCAATAACCTACATCGTCAAGGCCCTGATGAAGGCTGGAGGACACACTGGTCAAAATGTTATAAAAGAAAAGATGAAGACAATAGTCCACATTTAAATATTGTGTAGTGGGTTTGATCACAGTTGAGGGCACTACACACGTGACAGAATCAGGTTAAATAAGAAACAACAAAAACTATAAAAATATATAGAAACTGTGAAATTAAATATTTATACTAAAGTTTGTTCAGTACAAGGCTCGAGTGCCACTCAAAGTAGAGGGTGATTGTTTTAGATATATCCTTATGCAGTCTTTCATATTTGACAAAGTCTTTGCTCTGAAAATCTTTATGAAAGAATTCTCTTTATCTACATATAAAATTCTGTTAATCTGTCCATCCATCTATCACACTCTCTAAAATAGCCATACACTGACTGGTCAAAACCAAATTTCGAGGAGATGTGTAAACAGGTAAGGGGGTACAAATTTAGTGCTTGTATTAATATTAAATGTTCTATGTACTTAAAGAAAGTACAAGATTGTACTGATTACTACATGAGCATCATGAATGATTATGAAAATCTATATAAATTAAAATTGGATAAAACAAGTAAATTTCATATCCTTCAATATATAAAATTCTGTGACTTCTGTTCGTCTGTCTGCTTGCCCATCACACCTTCTAAAATAGCCATACATTGGCCAATCGAAATGAAATTTTATGGAGAAATGCAAACATGTAAGGTGTACAAAGTACTGTTGGTTATACTAAGGTGCATAGCTTAGTACAATAAATTTTCATTAGTTTTTTGGAAAAAATAAGTGTTATTTTACATACAAAATACTCCCACTATTTTAAAAACTATGATTAAAATAACAAATACTTATTTAGTAAAAATGCGATATTGTTTTTTGTATATCTTTTCTAAGTTTTTATCTACAAGAAAAAATATTTAAGCAAAAGTATTCTTAAGAATTTATTCTTCACTGTTAAAAAGGTAAAAAAAAGAAATTTTCTTTGAAATATTGTTTACCATGTAGTCTTATAAAATTGAATTAAAGAAATTATTAAACCACAAAGTAGGATTTTTGCCAAACTATTTTTCCAAATAAATCAGCTTATTCAAATTTCATCGATTGATTTGCAAAATTGAACGAAATGTAGAGTTTGTAAATCTTGCCAAAAAACATTTGCAATAACTTCAACAATACTAAATATTGTAAGGATTTTAACACACATCTTCATGTTCCAAAAATGTCTAGTAAATAAAAACTATATTTTTTCCAACTTTATGTAAGCATTACTACATGATATAAAGTAGCCTTTATAGAAATGATTTGTGAAAACTTAGTTGAGTTATTCACCAAATCTGATGATTCAAGTATGATAATTGATACCTTTATTAATGATTAATTTCTGTTTTGATCTTACCACAATTTAATTAAAGAATAATACTTTCTGAGTGAATTTGTAAGATTGAAACTAAAAAGCTTTCTGTTTAATTTTAATGAAATAAAATAAAGATCACAGGAACAGATAAACACTTTCATGATTTTTTATGGGACAAAGAAACAGTTTTACATCTAAGCAAAAAAAAAAAAAGAAAAAGTAAAGCCCTCTCTTGCAAAAAATACCACATAAATTTAATGTGTTCCTTGTTTTTCATCTTAAATCAAATGCTACTTTCTCTGTAGTCTATGAATTCAAATCTCTCCAAAGTAATTATTTCTGGCTAATTTTATATACTGCCAACAACAAAGAACTCTGGGTGTTCAGTTGGGAGATATTGCCAAACCTTTTATAAGAAACTCTGGTCTGACTCCAGAATAAAGGGGAGAGCAAAAAAAGAAAAAAGAAAAGATAATCAGTGTTTCTTTGCATTATGCATCTGTCCCTCCAGCCAAATCGAGATCAGGCCATCTTTTATTATTTACCTCCTCATAAGCAGATCCAATTATTTATTTTATTTTGTTTATTGCAACCAACCTCTTCTCTGACTTGATAAATAGCTCATATGAAAAGTATTCCTTTCACTTATCCGTATAATTGATAATCAAAGCACAATAAAATTTTTCCTGTGACTAATTAGAAAAGAAGAATATTTCAAGGCAATTCTCTTTTTTCTCTCTCTCCCTCTCTTTTCTCTCTCCCTCCTCTCTTTTCTCTCTCTCTCTCCTCTTTTTCTCTCTCTCTCCTCTTTTCTCTCTCTCCCTCTTCTCTCTCCCCTCTTTTTTTCTCTCTCCTTTTCTCTCTCTCTCCCTCTCTTTTTCTCTCTCTCCCTCTCTTTTTCTCTCTCTCCTCTCTTTTTCTCTCTCTCCCTCTCTTTTTCTCTCTCTCTCCCTCTCTTTTTCTCTCTCCCTCTTTTCTCTCTCTCCCTCTTTTCTCTCTCTATCTCTTTTCTCTCTCTCCCTCTCTTTCTCTTTCTCTCCCCTCTCTTCCTCTCTCTTTCTCTCTTTTTCTCTCTCCCTCTCTTTTTCCCTCTCTTCCTCTTTATTCTCTCTCTCTCCCTCTTTTCTCTTTCTCCCTCTTTTTCTTTCTCTCCTTCTTTTTTTCTTTCTCTCTACCCCTCTCTTTTTTCTCTCTCTACCTCTCTCTCCCTTTACCTCACTATCTCCCTCTCTCTTTTCCTGAAAGAAAGTATGCCGTTCATTGCAATGGAAGTAAATAAAGAGCATTCTCTTTCTCCTTTATCCCCACCCCCTCCGCTTGACAGAGGACGACGTGTTAAAAATGGCACATGATGTCCTGCAGCACCTGGCTACAGTAATTCCTGCTGTCTTCTTTTCTTATGGAGACTTTTTTCTTTTTCTTTCTAATGACTATTCAGTCTTTTTAAATTTACAATTTATACACATCTTTAAAGTCAGCACTTGGGAGGCACTGACAATAGATTCTTTTTTTTTTTTTTTTTCTTTTTTTCTAAAAGAAGATTAAAACAACAACAAAAAGGACATTTGTACTGTGAACCAGAGGAGTATTATAAGGCTTATAATAAAAGAAACTGAACAGAGCAACTACTACCTGTCCTCTTACAGTGAGAGGAAATGTTGGACAATTTCCTCACAGATGAAAAGGAGAACCGTTACAACAACAATGTGGTTTAAGAAGGATGCTAAGAATACCATCCAAGAAACATGTGAACAATAAGGAAGTTTTATGGAAAAAGGGGATGAAAAGGACATTTGTGTTTAGAATGAAAAAGAGATAGCCTATATACTTGTGCATAAGCCAACTTCGTACATATAGTGTGACTCCTCAAGTTTGTTGCATGAATTTTAACCTCTCCAGAAAAATTTATCCCTGTATAGTGCAACAGGTTACCAAAAATATATGATTTTTAACCCCTTCAAAAGAATTACCTGTGTATAGTGCAACCCCCTATTTTTTGCATAAAAAACTGATAATGAAAACTCACTATACTCAAGTATATATATAGTAGTTACATTTCTAGCAATCATAATGAGGAAAGAGGGCTTGGAGAATTTGGCACTCACAGGACATATTGAAGATAAGAAGGACAGAGAAAAGCAGTGAGTAGCCTACCAAACAAGCTAATGTTAATAGATGGCAGAAGACAGACTGGGAGTGATAGTAAGAGCTACAAAAGATAGGAAGTGGTAGAGAGCTTTGACCATCCATGCCATGTATATAGTGAAAGGGAATGTTGCACTGTATATAGTGAAAGGGAATGTTGCTACCATCAAGCATCCAATATGACAATGAATACTGGACAATTTTCTCACAAATAGCGAATTAAGGCAAAATAGATGCCATTCTACAGAAGGATACTGAGAATACTATGGATGGAGCATGTGAGCAATGAGGAAGTTTTAAGGAAAATGGGGATAAAAAGACACTTGTATTTAGAGTCAAAAGTCAACAGTTGAAATTTTTGTGGCATGTAATGAGGAAAGAAAGTTTGGGGAATTAGATGACCACGGGATTTCCACAGGGAAACAGTGAGCAACATACCTAAGGGACTTTTGTACATGGATAACTGAACAGCGATTGGGAAGAATATTAAGGGAACAAACATTGCTTAAAGCTACAATGTATAAGAAGTTGTGGAGAGTCATGATCTTAAAGGGATACTACACAGAAATGTAAATAGTAAGAAGGACCTTACATATTACTGAACAAGATGAAATAGAAAAGTCTTGATATTAAGCATCCTATTTTGCAATATTTTCACCCAGAATGTTATTAAATTTCAGCAATCAATTTCTGTATTGAAAATCATGAGGAAAGGGATTGTCATAGGTCAGGAATTTAGGCAAGTGTTATTGACAGATTAGGGATATTTAATGGTCAGGAATTGAAACAACAGTTAATGAAAATTTTTAAAAATTACATTGTATTAAACAGTTGGGGAGAAGATAATGACTACTTTGATTGTCAGTCATTAAAATCATTTCTATTTGCCTCCAATTGCATATAAAGATTTTACCATTGCGACTTTTAATGTTAGTGCATTTATGAAAAAAGAAAAGCAGGAATTATTTGATCAGGACATTGATAGTTATAACATTAATGTGCTTTGTCTCCAAGAGACCATAATCAAAGAAGGACTTGATATTAATATTGCCATCAATACCAAATAGATGAAAAACATCCATAGACATCGAGTGACAAACCATAGTATAGACCAATGATTATCAACTGTATTGTGTGTGTGTGCTTTGAAAAAAACACTGGGCATAGGTTTCACGCTAAATAAGCTGCACAAATAGTTGAATAAAACATTGAAATAAAGTAAATTCATATATGAGAACAATAGCATACTATTTGAAAGTTATTACAGCCATAGGAAAGTTACTGAATATCTAAAACATTGAAACAATTTAACCCACAAGAAGGTTTTATCTATAGAATTCCTTTACTAAGAACAGTCAAACACTGGTGAATGACATAGCATCTAAAACATGAAGGCAGGTAGTTTGCAAGTTTTAGTTTTATTTCATACAATTTAAATGTTGCTAAGTATGCCATGATATTTTTATTTGCTCCAAGGTGTGCTTTTGTTTCAAAAGTTTGAGAAATGGTGCTGTAAAGTGATTATTATATCCAAAAACTTTATATCATTTCCATTCATCACTCAGAACAATACAATTACACTATCATTATTATTATGCATTATTAAAATATAAAAAACAGATATTTGAACAATCAGGAATTCAATAGAATTCATAGATTTTTTTTTAAATAGAAGGCATTCAGAATTAATTAGAACATTATGAGGAAAGTCAAATAGTCATTTTTAAACACTTGAGCTTTGTACAACAAAATGTGCAGCCAGCCAATAAAAAATGAACTTGACCTCAGCGTCCTGAAATTAACAAAAATAAAAAAAATCAAATAAATAAAATTAAAAAGCCAAACTTTGTTTAATTCACTATTTACATTATTCAGACTATTTTCCTCATCTTTGTCACCATATTTATTACAACGTTTCATCCATTTGTACACTCCAGCCTTCTTCAGGTGGTTGGAATGTCGAACTGAACCCTTTATTTTGCTCACTGGAGTAGACTGTTCTAGTTCCACATGCCATGTCTAATGGATGTCAGTTATCTCTTGCTTAATTCCCTCTCCAAGTTCTCCACTGCCTTAACCAGGTATTGAACTCAAATTCTTTGGGTCCTGTCACTAACTAACGCCTTTATCCACTGTGCCATGTGTCCTTGTTTAATTCAAGTTCTATTGAATTATGAATTAATATTGTCAAAGTTTCTGATACGCAGCATTGATGAAAAAGAAAAAAAAAAAAAAAAACACCAGGCACATGTTTCAAACTAAATAAGGATACACAAAAAGTTGAATAGAAACGTTGAAATAAAGTAAGTTCACATTTATGCGTGTATTTTTAAAAAAATTCTATAGTTTTATTTAACCCATTACCTGCCATGAGCCCCATTTGGGGATCTCTTAAAATTAAACTCGCTACGTTATTCCTTGTATTTACATTGAATTGATTACATACATTGCATTTGCAGAGGTATATTTTACAACACTTAGCCTTTAAAGTTTTTACACTTACTGTTGTAATTTTACATTTCACGAGTACAAAAAAATGACTATTTTGAAAAGTATTTTTTTATTATTTCTAATCAATATTATTTTTTGATGTTTTATACACATATACAGGGTGTCCATAAAGTTTGTGTGTACTTTAAAAAATTTATAACTTTATTTGTATTTGCGATAGAAATAATTTGTAAAAAGGATTAGAAAGAAGTAAATCTATATTCTTTAAGGTTTTATAGAAATTTTATTTAAGTTTCCACATGTCCTCCATCATTAGCAATAAAAGAGTAATACAATTTTGCAGTTTACGGAAAACATTTGCCAACTGATTTACAGTAATGCCTGAAATCATATTAGTTATTTTAGCTATATTTAAAACTAGGTACATTAAACTTTATAACATTTTTTATAGATTATTTCTATCGCAAATACAAATAAAGTTATAAATTTTTTAAAGTACACACGAACTTTGTGGACACGCTGTATATTTGATGTTCTAGTTTCTATAAAAATGACAATAGTAAATACTGAAATTAAACATAAGGAATAAATAAAGGCCTAAGATACCTGTCTGGGCCAAAAATGGGCATTTAAAAAATTTGGTAGTTAATGGGTTAATAACATTTAAAAATTTTGCTAACTGTGCCATGATATTTTCATTTGCTCCTAGGTGTGTTGTTGCTTAAAATGCCTGAGAAACATTTGTATACACATTGAACAATGGCATTAAAAGAACTGTCAATAAAACTGTAGCATTTCCTGTAAAAGCATTGAAGAGCTTGGAGAGACTTGTAGCCCTTTCATAAGTTATTACGGGATAGAGAGGCTTGGAATGGGGTCTTACAAAATTGATGAAGACGAAAAATCACATTGATTTGCAGTGTGCATTCAAGTTGAAACATCACTAATGATGATTAAATTATAAAAAATAGAATTCACAGAAATTATTGATATAGTTTTATATCATCATAAGTATTTTTCAATTGTGAATAATGAGTAATATTTATTTATACAATAAAAAGATTTTAAAAGGAAAATATTTGGTAGAATAAAAACAGTTTCCAGAGAGACTACCTCAGAAAATACATGTATCGCTAATACAAAATTTCCAAAAGAATAAATTTGAAAAATGACTCAAAAATCTAAAGTATGTAGATAATTTCAAATCCAAATACATTAACCCAGGATACGTTGAGACTCCTCCAGAAAAAAAGAAGCGATTTCATCTGATTTATCAAAATAAACTGTCAACCATTTCGCTATATTTTTTCTCCAGAGAAAACATTTTGAGATGCAAAAATGTCTAATATTCCTGCCAATGCAGGAATAAAATACTGGAAATCTACATTAATAATATTTCTGGTGGTTCCAGGATTTTCTGCCATTCTTGCAGTTAAATTAATGAGGCCTCAAAAAAAGAAAAAAAATATATAAACAATTGTTTTCAAAATGAGAAAACATAATTTTTCTTTTATTAAAGAGTATGTTCTGTTGTATGTATGTATGTATGTATGTATGCACGTATAGTATATATAATGAGTGAATTCAGTAAGTCATTATTGTGTGTATATATAATACCTGGCCACTTGTATTTGAGGATACCCATCTACTAGAGTGGCTAGCCAATCCTTATTGCAGATGCTCGCACAGGCACATTTGTATTTGCTCCATACCCACAGAGCCAACCTGTGGGTTATACTGCAACTATGCTGAGCAG